AATAATTTATCGATAGTATAATTACAGGTCAATTTACTAGATACCTGTAAAAACAAGCATATTTTAAAAGCTTAAAAACACGATCAGATGGATACCCAGCCCCTTGATCCTAACAGGTATATTACCAGAGGGAGCCCAATACTTCTTACATTGTACTAATTAAACTGAAAATCTCACTAACCACATGCAAGCTATTTTGCATTTAAAGCTTATAAGAGAAATAATAAAATGCAGTAGCATATCTATAGAGTAAATAACCAAGATCACTTGTTAATACATTCGTCCTATATCCTGTCTTGTCTTTATAACAGTATAGAATTTGGGGAAGATTGGTGGCTGTGTACAGTATCTCACAAAAGTGAGTACACCCCTCAGATTATTGTAAATATTTTATTATATCTTTTCATATGACAACACTAAAGAAATGACACTTTGCTACAATGTAAAGTAGTAAGTGTACAGCCTGTATAACAGTGTACATTTGCTATCCCCTCAAAATAACAACACACAGTTGTAACGGCTACCCAGGTTGTAAGGGGGTATCAGCCGCTGGAGACGTCCTTTTCCTGGCAAGCTGCTGTGTAATAATGGAGTTTCTTATTCCCATCCACGAGATCCAAAAGTAGAGTCAGGCATAGCTGTAAAATGGAGCAAGGTAATTGTGCAGTAAATCCCCTTCCAAGAACGAGACGAGGCTACATTTTGAAGGGTCAAGCAGAACTGGCTTTTATTGACAGGGATTCTCCTTTTATGCAATTCTGCCCTTGGGAGGGCGACACCTACATAATTAGTACAGTACCCAATCACAAACATGGTACATCCCACACGTCTCCTCCCTCAGATAAACAGTTAACATAATTAACACACACACATTTTTACCCAAGTTTTGGATGTACCCCAAATACTTGGAGTACACCCTTCAGTATCCCCAGATAGCCCTCATCTAGGGGAACAACATATTAAAAAAATCATCCCATTCGGTGAAAGTGTTCAGGAGTTATGGGACTTTAAAGTTTTGACCGACCGCATGGGCACACTAGCTGAAAATAGTTCCATAAGTTTTGGCCTTGCAGTCGGTCCTTGTTCGTGCGATGAAAAGGCATGAAAATCCTGCCATCCGTGCATATCTTGCTGGTCGCTGGAATCCCCGTACATAATATATCCTATCTACCGAACGGCAGGGCGTTCAGTAGTTTCAGCACGAATTTACGGTGTTATGGAGGTTTCAGCTGTGTTCGCCTACTCGAGTGTCTGATTTTAGTTCCAGATACTCAACGGGAAATCACCGCTGTTCGTGCGTTAAGATGGCCACGAACACGTGCAAAGTCCCGAAATGGCGGCCACCTAGGATCTGAAACAAAGGATTTGTGCATTTCTCATACGAATGGTATATGCCGGTCTGGGAGGTAAAATGCCACATAATTGAATAGCAGGATGGTCCGGTGTTCGGTAGTTTGTATTCGTATTTGTGTCTGCTGAGTCTCTACCGCATGGATTGCACAAATAGATGAATACTGCCAACAATAGTCCCGAACTGTGCTATAATAATCCACATAACCAGGTAAGCATATTCTCTTGTATCATTAGTCTTGATTATTGTCAAATACGTCCAGGCAGAAAGTAAAGTTTTGTTATAACAGTCATTAATGTCTAAACCGTTGGCAACAAAAGTGAGTACACCCCTAAGTGTAAATGTCAAAATTGGGCCCAAAGTGTCAATATTTTGTGTGGCCAGAAATTCTTTTTTCCAGCACTGCCTAAGCCCTCAAGGGCATGGAGTTCACCAGAGCTTCACATGTTGCCACTGGAGTCCTCTTCCACTTCTCTATGATGACATCACAGAGCTGGTGGATGTTAGAGATCTTGCGCCCCCCCACCTTCTATTTGAGCATGTCCAACAGATGCTCAATAGGGTATAGGTCTGGAGACACGCTTGGCCAGTCCATCACCTTTACCTTCAGCTTCTTTAGCAAGGCAGTGGTAATCTTGCAGGTGTGTTTGTGGTTATTATCATAGCCCAGTCTCCAAAGGGAGGGGATCATGCTCTGCTTCAGTATGTCACAGTGCATGTTGGCATTCATGGTTCCTTCAATGAGCTGTAGCTCCCCAGTGCCGGCAGCACTCATGCAGACCAAGACCATGACACTCCCACCACTATGCTTGACTGTAGGCAAGACACACTTGTCTTTGTACTCCTCACCTCATTGCCACCACGCATGCTTGACACCATCTGAACCAAATAAGTTTCAGTCTCATTGGACCACAGGACATAGTTCCAGTAATCCATGTCCTTAGTCTGCTTGTCAAACTGTTTGAGGGCTTTCTTGTGCATCATCTTTAGAATCTTTAGTCCTTCTGGGACTACAGCCATGCGGACCAATTTGATATAAATAATAATAATAATAATAATAATACAGTGTGCGGCGTATGGTCTGAGCACTGACAGGCTGACCTCCCATCCCTTCAGTAATGCTGGCAGCACTCATACGTTTTTTCCAACAGACAACCTCTGGATTTGACACTGAGCACGTGCACTCAACTTCGTTGGTCGACCATGGCAAGGCCTGTTCTGAGTGGAACGTGTCCTGTCAAATCTCTGCATAGTCTTGCCCACTATGCTGCAGTTCAGTTTCAGTGTCTTGGCAATCTTCTTATAGCCTAGGCCCTATTTATCTAGAACAACATTTTTCAGATCCACAGAGATTTCTTTGCCATGAGGTGCCATGTTGAACTTCCAGTGACCAGTATGAGAGAGTGTGAGAGCGATAACACCAGATTTAACACACCTGCTCCCCATTCACACCTGAGACCTTGTAACACTAATGAGTCACATGACACAGGGGAGGGAAAATGGCTAATTGGGCCCGATTTGGACATTTCCACTTAGCGGTGTACTCACTTTTGTTTGCAATGTTTTAGACATTAATGACTGTGTGTTGAGTTATTTTGAGGGGAGAGCAAATTTACGCTGTTAAACGGGCTGTACACTTACTACTTTACATTGTAGCAGAATGTCATTTCTTCAGTGTTGTCACATGAAAAGATATAATAAAATGTTTACAAAAATGTGAGGTGTGTACTCACTTTTGTGAGATACTATATATCTCCTTGCTTCCTACACATCAACCAAAACAAGAGTCTAGAAAGAAAGCTAAACTAGTATTTAAATATGCAAAGTTTTATCATAAATGTAATAAATTGCACATTTGGATTAGTAATGACTGGTTTTCTGAATTACATTTTAGTTATAATGGTTAACAAAGCGTAATGTGTTTAGAACACGTCAGTCATAGTTTTCCCCAAATATAAATACATATTTTGTTTCCTTCCTTTGCATGAATGTTGGCAGATGTATTTTTTTCTTTTAACATTTTCTAAGGTGTCATATCACAACATTACATTTTACAGTGTGTTCTACTCTAAAATGGCACATAGCATGATAAAATTCTTATTGAATACATTTTGCTATCATGAAAATGCAAACATGATGATCGTTTGATAGCAATTTAACATTTCCAATGCTTTTCATGTCAGAAAAGGGTATATTCTGTATTTATTTCTACATAATGGGACAACTAGGCTCAAAGAATAAAGTGGAAGGAAATACACACAACATAGAAACATAAAATGAATAATATAAGTTACAAGAAATGTCATTATATGCATGTATACCTGTTATGATATAATATATTAGACTTGGAGAATCGTTTCAGACCGAGCTGTAATTTGGTTGAATTCAGTTCAGTTGGGGGAGCAGAAAAAAAAATGCAAGCCAGCCGCCACATTAAAAAATAAAAATATGTTATTGTCCACTATCCTTGTTTAATTAGTTAGAGCTCTCACCAGCTGTCCATTGGTGGAAGCTTGAGGGACACTAAGTCCTACCCCATGAACATTGTAATAGTGAGTAACTCTGTGTGTTTCTCAGATAACACAAACTGTTAGAGCGATGTAGTATTATGGTAAAATAGAATGTTCAAGTTTTCCAAGTATAGAGCATTTATAGCATATGAGTATGTAAAATATATAGTGCAGATATTTTCTATATGTCGAATAGAGCCAAATTACCGGGATCTTCGTGTATGCTGCATTGCTATCCATGTAGGACACTCACTTAAGTGCTAATTAATATACTGAACCCAACACCACCTTTTTCAAACATCGGGAGGCTATTGCTCATATGCGTCAAAACGATACAGTGTGCTAATCAGCATCTTCCCACAGAGAGGCATTAAATTAATGCCTCTCTATAAGGAATGTTCAGCACCTCCATTCAATGCATGGATATGCTGGAAGTCAGGGCTTCACATAGTGCAACACACTCACAGAAGCATCTCTAGTGGCCATATGAGTGACTGCCACTACAGCTGTTCCTGTTGTTCTGGTGACTAAAGTGTCCCTTTAAGATAAACTGTACAATTGGGTCCTCATTTTGTCTCTTGTTTTCTATGTACTCACAGACCAAAACTACTACAAGAATCAGATATTCCATCTTAAAGAAAAAAGACAACATACAGATGGCTGTTTGGCTGTTCTTGTCAAAAAAAATTTGTTTTCTGATTATTGTTTTTCTTGTTGATATCTGTTCACCACAATGTATGCGGTTTTTGTTTAACCTATTAGTGACCAGACCATTTTTAAAGTGTCTTACCTTTAAGGACCAGGGCTGTTTTTACATTTCTGCAGTGTTTGTTTTAGCTGTAATTTTCTTCTTACTCCTTTACTATACCCACACATATTATATACTGTTTTTCTCACCATTAAATTGTCTTTCTAAAGATACCAGTATTTTCATCATATCATATAATTTACTATAAAAACAATTATAAAATATGATGAAGGGGGTGGGGCCTGACAGCCAAGATGGCCAGACGTGTTCAACACAAGCTCCCGCACAATTAAGCAAGGAATCAGCTTTCTAGGCTACATATTGAACTGGATCCAGCCCTAATCGACTGGTACACGGTCGGGCAACGAGTGGGCAACTGTGGCTGAACCAGATGAACCGAGACAGCATCTACTTGCAGAGCCTGACAATGAGGCCTAGCGTGAATTGCAGCCAAGAGCCTGGAATAGATGGCCGCTCTCCCTGCATGAAACAAGACCTTGAAAATATCGACACTGAAGACCCGCGACCCCCCCCCGACCATGCGCCAGAATGGAAAGTCATGCAAGTAAAACCGCACCGAACTGTCCACGCTCCTGACGAGGTTCTCGGAGGGTCAACCGATACCGGGCTCAAGACCTTGCTAAGATCCGACGGAGGCCCACGGACCTGCAGCCATCCCCCCCACAAGACCTGGACCCCGGAGGGCAGAGAACCCAAGGGCAGGGGGCTGCATGAAGCTAACAAACCAGACAGCAAGCTACCTCCCAAGCACAGCATGCAGTGGAGTGTGGCACAGCATGACACACTCCACTGGAATGTGGAGTGTGGCAAGTGGGGATGAACTTTCCGCTGTGGCCCATCTGAGGCATTGGGTGAACAGAACTGTTTGCAACCACATGTTTGCTGTTCTTTTTCTCCAGATATGCTTTATGTTCTATCTTGTTCTTTATCATCTCTCCCTTTGTTCTCTTAGTAGATACCTCGAGACCCAGTGGTATCAAATTCCTTTTACTTCTTTTTTATTTTACTAGCGAGTCTTAGGCACTCTGATATAGCCTGTAGAATATATACATGTTCAGCATATAGAGCCTGACCACCCACCATGAATAGATTTAGGCCACAACCCAAGCAGCACTGGAAATGTATGGGACTGTGCCTAGACACTATGTCAGTATCTTAGATTCACTGTTTATCCTGTATTATCCTTGGTCACAAGTGCAGACCTATGTTTCAGCCTGTCTCTCGCTAACGACACATTAAGGGGCAATTTCATGTTATGCCTCTTTCTATCATTTCATATCATTTTATGTTAGAGCCTAAGCTACCTCTGGCTCCTGAGTCGCTTACCTGAGGCGGAGTACACATTAAACTACACAAAGTCACCCCAGGGGTTAACCATATTAGCAACCCTACTCAGGCTCACTTAAACACTTCTCTTCTAAACACATCAGTTATGTACACACACCTTACTTACAAGCTAGCAGGCCATCATGTTTAATGTGTTATAGCCTTGTTTACACTACAGCAGAGCCACACATGTTGCTATATATATTATCCTGTACGTAAAGAATGTAAAAAAAAATCTGATGAAAAAATGTAAAAAAAACACACTTTTTCTAACTTTGACCCCAAAAACTATTACGCATCTACAACCACCAAACAACACCCATGCTAAATAGTTTCTAAATTTTGTCCAGAGTTTAGAAACACCCAATGTTAACATGTTTGTAGCTTTTTTTTAGTTATGGGGCTATAAGTACAAGTAGGACATTTCTGTTTTAAAATATATATTTTTAAAATGTATCAATAGTGACATTGTAACACTGTTATCTGTCATAAATCTCTGAATCACACCTCACATGCACGTATTTTTTTTTAAAGTAGACAACCTGGGGTATTCAATATGGGGTATGTCCAGTATTTTTTAGTAGCCACTTAGTCACAAACACTGGCCAAAGTTATCAACTCTCACACGTTCACTGTGATTGTGAGGATCTGCCCTTCTTTGTTCGTTTTCATTTACTGGCCAAAGTTAGCATTTATATATGTTAGTGTGTTAAAAATGCAAAAAACTATTATGAATGCTAACTTTGACCAGTGTTTGTGACTGGTGGCTACTAAAAAAGACTGAACATACCCCATTTGCAATACCTTGGGTTGTCTTCTTTTGCAAATGATATTTCATCATAGGGGTAATTCTCATTCCTGGGCTACCATACGCTCTCAAGGGCAACATAACCAATCTGGCAAATTTCCATGTGAACAAAACGGAAAATCAAGCTTTATATTTGACCCTGTAACTTTCATTATAAAACCTGCACATAGCAGGTACTGTTATACTTGGGAGACTTCGTTAACACAAATATTAGTGTTTCAAAACAGTAAAACTTATTACAACAATGATATCATCAGTGAAAGTGACATTTGTGTGTAAAAAAATGCAAATAGTCACTTTCACTGACAATATCATCGCTGTAATATGATTTACTGTTTTCAAACACTAATATTTATGTTCAGTGAAGTCTCCATAGTAAAACAGTACCGGTTTTAAGGTGCCATGGAAAGTTACAGGGTTAAATACAGTGCTAGAAAATTAAATTCTTTGGACTTTCGGCCTGGGTTGTCAGGCAGGTCCCTCAAATTGCAATCAATAAAATGACTTAATTATGTAAAAATATTACATAAATATGCACGAAGAATTTAAATATATATACATATTTATTTATTTGAAGTATACATGTATATTTCTGACATTATTTATGTAATTATATATATATATATATATATATATATATATATATATATATATATATATATATATATATATAGGTCCCCCCCAAATTATACTTATGGCCCGCACCCACCGCTCAGGGGTGGGGGGTGGGGGGGGGACATTAGGTCCCCCCCATTTTTTACTTATGGCCCCCACCCACCACTCAGGGGTGGAGGCCAGGGGCAGGACATTAGGTCCCCCCCCCTCATTTTTTATTTATGGCCCCCACCCACCACTCAGGGGTGGGGGATGGGGGGGAGGACATTAGGTCCAACCCCTTATTGTTATTAAGGGCCCCCACCCGCCGCGCAGGGGTGGGGGCCAGGGGGGAGGACATTAGGTCCCCCCCAATTTTTATTCATTGCCCCCACCCAATGCTCAGGGGTAGGGGCCGGGGGGAGGACAATAGGTCCTATCCCTTATTGTTATTTAGGGCCCCCACCCACCGCTCAGGGGTGGGGGCTGGGGGGGACAGTAGGTCACCCTCCTTATTGTTATTTAGGGCCCCCACCCGACACACAGGGGTGGGGGCAATAGTTTTTTTTTTTTTTACAGTAAGCAGCCACAGGCTGCTCACTGGTTAATAGACACGCCCCTACTTGCGGTATAGCGAGTAGAAACATAGAAACATAGAAACATAGAATGTGACAGCAGATAAGAACCATTCGGCCCATCTAGTCTGCCCAATTTTCTAAATACTTTCATTAGTCCCTAGCCTTATCTTATAGTTAGGAAAGCCTTATGCCTATCCCACGCATGCTTAAACTCCTTTACTGTGTTAACCTCTACCACTTCAGCTGGAAGGCTATTCCATGCATCCACTACCCTCTCAGTAAAGTAATACTTCCTGATATTATTTTTAAACCTTTGTCCCTCTAATTTAAGACTATGTCCTCTTGTTGTGGTAGTTTTTCTTCTTTTAAATATAGTCTCCTCCTTTACTGTGTTGATTCCCTTTATATATTTAAATGTTTCTATCATATCCCCCCTGTCTCGTCTTTCCTCCAAGCTATACATGTTAAGATCCTTTAACCTTTCCTGGTAAGTTTTATCCCGCAATCCATGAACCAGTTTAGTAGCCCTTCTCTGAACCCTCTCTAAGGTATCAATATCCTTCTGAAGATACGGTCTCCAGTACTGTGTACAATACTCCAAGTGAGGTCTCACCAGTGTTCTGTACAATGGCATGAGCACTTCCCTCTTTCTACTGCTAATACCTCTCCCTATACAACCAAGCATTCTGCTAGCATTTCCTGCTGCTCTATTACATTGTCTGCCTACCTTTAAGTCATCAGAAATAATCACCCCTAAATCCCTTTCCTCATATGTTGAGGTTAGACTCTATCAAATATTCTGTACTCTGCCCTTGGGTTTTTACGTCCAAGATGCATTATCTTGCACTTATCCACATTAAATGTCAGTTGCCACAATTCTGACCATTTTTCTAGTTTACCTAAAACATTTGTCATTTGGCTTATCCCTCCTGGAACATCAACCCTGTTACATATCTTAGTATCATCAGCAAAAATACATATCTTACCATCAAGACCTTCTGCAATATCACTAATAAAAATATTAAAGAGAATGGGTCCAAGTACAGATCCCTGAGGTACCCCACTGGTGACAAGTCCAAGCTTCGAATATATTCCATTAACTACAACCCTCTGTTGCCTGTCACTCAGCCACTGCCTTACCCATTCAACAATATTTGAATCCAAACTTAAAGATTGCAGTTTATTGATAAGCCTTCTATGTGCAACAGTGTCAAAAGCCTTACTGAAATCTAGGTAAGCAATGTCTACTGCACCACCCTGATCTATAATTTTAGTTACCCAATCAAAAAAATCAATAAGATTAGTTTGGCATGATCTCCCTGAAGTAAACCCATGTTGTCTCTGATCTTGAAATCCATGTGTTTTTAGATGTTCATCAATCCTATCCTTTAACATGGTTTCCATCACTTTCCCCACTACTGAAGTAAGGCTTACTGGCCTATAGTTGCCCGACTCCTCCCTATTACCTTTCTTGTAAATGGGCACAACATTCGCTAACTTCCAATCTTCTGGGACTACTCCTGTTAACAATGATTGGTTAAATAAATCTGTTAATGGTTTTGCTAGTACACCACTAAGCTCTTTTAATAGCTTTGGGTGTATTCCATCAGGTCCCATTGACTTATTTGTCTTTACTTTTGACAGTTGAAATAGAACCTCTTCCTCTGTAAACTCACTTGTAATAAATGACTCATTTATCCTTTTTCTCAACTGAGGTCCCTTTCCTTCATTTTCTTCTGTAAATACAGAACAAAAATATTAATTGAGGCAGTCAGCCTGACCTTTATCCTCTTCTACATACCTTCCTTCTTTTGTTTGTAATCTAACTAATGCTTGTTTTACTTTTCTTTTCTCATTTATGTATCTAAAAAAATGTTTTATCCCCCTTTTTTACTGACTGTGCTATTTTCTCTTCTGTGTGTGATTTGGAAGCTCTTATAACTTGCTTAGCCTCTTTCTGCCTAATCTTATAGATCATTTTGTCTCCCTCACTCTGGGTTTTTTTATAATTCCTAAATGCTAACTTTTTGTTTTTAACTATTTTGGCCACATCTGCGGAGTACCACAGTGGTTTCTTGAATTTTTTGCTTTTACTGACAAGCCTAATGCAATTTTCTGTTGCCTTCAATAGTGCAACTTTTAAATAATCCCATTTTCTTGGACTCCATTTAAATTGCTCCAGTCTGATAATGACTCCTCTACCCATATTCTAATTTTAGAAAAGTCTGTTTTTCTAAAGTCTAAAACTTTTGTTTTTGTGTGGTGTGACTCAGTCACTGTTCTTATATTAAACCACACTGACTGATGATCACTGGATCCTAAACTTTCACCTACAGTAACATCTGATACCAAATCTCCATTTGTTAACACTAAATCTAGTATGGCCTCTTTACGAGTTGGCTCCTCAACAACTTGTTTTAGAGACAATCCCAGTAGGGAGTTTAGAATATGTGTGCTCCTGGCACAAGTAGCTAATTTTGTTTTCCAATTTACATCAGGAAGATTAAAGTCACCCATGATGATAACTTCCCCCTTCATTGTCATTTTAGCTATTTCCTCAACTAGTAGATTATCTAACTCTTCAATTTGTCCTGGGGGCCTATAAATCACACCTACACGAGTTACTGTGTGATTACCAAATTCTAACGTAGCCCAAACGGACTCTATGTTTGCCTCACTAACTTTTATTAGGCTAGATTTTATGCTATCCTTCACATACAAGGCCACCCCTCCCCCTTTCTTGCCTTCCCTATCTTTCCTATATAAAGAGTACCCTGGTATTGCTATGTCCCAGTCATTTTTCTCATTGTACCATGTCTCAGTAACAGCGACTAAATCTACACTATCAGTTGCCATTATTGCCACAAGTTCATGGATCTTATTCCCTAAACTGCGAGCATTTGTAGACATGACTCTAAGCTTATCATTTTTTAACACACTTGCTACAGGCACCTTCTGTCCTTGTTTTGGGGGACAATTGGATTGATGTTTTATCACCCTTTTGCCCCCCCCTCCTAGTTTAAATACATCCTAGCAAAACCTCTGAACTGCTCACTGAGAACATTTGTTCCCTTTTGAGAAAGATGCAAACCATCTTTTTTGTACAGCTTATCTCCATTCCAAACAGAGCTACCATGAGAAATAAAGCCAAATCCTTGCTCCCGACACCATTCACCAAGCCACAAATTAAAGTCCCTAATACGCATCCGCCTGTCGTTCTGAGTGTTATGCACAGGCAGAACTTCAGAGAATGACAGTGTGGAAGCAACCTGCCGTATATCATTGGCAAAAACACTAAAAACTTCCTTAACCTCTGAAACCTCATTGCAAGCCAAGTCATTTGTCCCTAGATGGACAAGTACATCCAATTCTCCTTCCTGCTTTGCTTGCTTAACAATATTACAGATACGTTTCCTGTCTCTGTGAGCAGTAGCTCCGGGAAGACACCTCACAAGACCACCATTGTCCATCTCCACACCTCTTATAATGGAATCACCCAACAACAACTGCTTTCTATTAGGCCTCACCATAGTCTCCAAGCCGGTCTCCACAACACCACTAGTCTCAGTGCCTCTCTACACAACACCACTAGCCTCAGTGCCTCTCTCCACAACACCACTAGCCTCAGTGCCTCTCTCTACAACACCACTAGACTTAGTGCCTCTCTCCACAACACCACAAGCCTCAGTGCCTCTCTCCACACCACCACTAGCCTCAGTGCCTCTCTCCACAACACCATTACACTCTGAAAGTGCAGAAAATGAATTATGAAGAGCAACAGACTGTGCAAAATGCCTTTTATCCACAACTCTATCCACAGATCCTACAGTAATCCATCTGCCTTTCCTAGCATGTCTCTGCGGCAGTGGCTTTGCAGCAGTTCCAGTTTGAGTTTCTTCACCAGATAATTTACAAATCTCAGACTTCAAAAATACAATCTCTTGCCACAAGATAGAGAACTGTCTACAGATTAGACAACAACCAAACCTCCAAAAAGTGGAACGTGAAACAAATGCATAGCAATTGTTACACTGAACTAAGCCTGCCATTCCAATTATAAGAATAATTTAAATCTAACAAATCTTAACTTTTTTCTTTATCCTCCTGAATACCTCAGATTACCTCCAGTTTATCTCCAGAATATCTCCAACTACACACTTAGAAACAGCACTTAGAAGTATCAACCAAGCTATATTAGACAAGCTAATGGAACCAGGCCTTATATAACTCCTAAAATCACCGCCCACTAGGAATGTTTAACACCTGGGTAGGCCTCTGCTTATTTGCAAACAATAGCTAATTAACCAGCAATCAACAGCAAGTAACTAGCTTAATCAAATCAAATGCCTTATAATTACCAACAGGAATTCAAACCTTGTGCAATCAGTAACCTTTTCCTACAGATGAATCTTACCTGTAACAGTAGAAAAGAAAGCTCTTAGCACAACTCTTAGACAGTTGAAGCTTCTGTAAAACTCTCCAGAATATCTCCAACTACACACTTAGAAACAGCACTTAGAAGTAGCACCAAGCTATATTAGACAAGCTAATGGAACCAGGCCTTATATAACTCCTAAAATCACCGCCCACTAGGAATGTTTAACACCTGGGTAGGCCTCTGCTTATTTGCAAACAATAGCTAATTAACCAGCAATCAACAGCAAGTAACTAGCTTAATCAAATCAAATGCCTTATAATTACCAACAGGAATTCAAACCTTGTGCAATCAGTAACCTTTTCCTACAGATGAATCTTACCTGTAACAGTAGAAAAGAAAGCTCTTAGCACAACTCTTAGACAGTTGAAGCTTCTGTAAAACTCTCCAGAATATCTCCAACTACACACTTAGAAACAGCACTTAGAAGTAGCACCAAGCTATATTAGACAAGCTAATGGAACCAGGCCTTATATAACTCCTAAAATCACCGCCCACTAGGAATGTTTAACACCTGGGTAGGCCTCTGCTTATTTGCAAACAATAGCTAATTAACCAGCAATCAACAGCAAGTAACTAGCTTAATCAAATCAAATGCCTTATAATTACCAACAGGAATTCAAACCTTGTGCAATCAGTAACCTTTTCTTACAGATGAATCTTACCTGTAACAGTAGAAAAGAAAGCTCTTAGCACAACTCTTAGACAGTTGAAGCTTCTGTAAAACTCTCCAGAATATCTCCAACTACACACTTAGAAACAGCACTTGGAAGTAGCACCAAGCTATATTAGACAAGCTAATAGAACCAGGCCTTATATAACTCCTAAAATCACCGCCCACTAGGAATGATTAACACCTGGGTAGGCCTCTGCTTATTTGCAAACAATAGCTAATTAACCAGCAATCAACAGCAAGTAACTAGCTTAATCAAATCAAATGCCTTATAATTACCAACAGGAATTCAAACCTTGTGCAATCAGTAACCTTTTCCTACAGATGAATCTTACCTGTAACAGTAGAAAAGAAAGCTCTTAGCACAACTCTTAGACAGTTGAAGCTTCTGTAAAACTCTCCAGAATATCTCCAACTAGACACTTAGAAACAGCACTTAGAAGTAGCACCAAGCTATATTAGACAAGCTAATGAGACCAAGCCTTATATAACTCCTAAAATCACCACCCACTAGGAATGTTTAACACCTGGGTAGGCCTCTGCTTATTTGCAAACAATAGCTAATTAACCAGCAATCAATAGCAAGTAACTAGCTTAATCAAATCAAATGCCTTATAATTACCAATAGGAATTCAAACCTTGTGTAATCAGTAACCTTTTCCCACAGATGAATCTTACCTGTAACAATAGAAAAGAAAGCTCTTAGCACAACTCTTAGACAGTTGAAGCTTCTGTAAAACTCTCCAGAATATCTCCAACTACACACTTAGAAACAGCACTTTGAAGTAGCACCAAGCTATATTAGACAAGCTAATGACACCAGGCCTTATATAACTCCTAAAATCACCGCCCACTAGGAATGTTTAACACCTGGGTAGGCCTCTGCTTATTTGCAAACAATAGCTAATTAACCAGCAATCACCAGCAAGTAACTAGCTTAATCAAATCAAATGCCTTATACCTACCAACAGGAATTCAAACCTTGGGCAATCAGTAACCTTTTCCTACAGATGAATCTTACCTGTAACAGTAGAAAAGAAAGCTCTTAGCACAACTCTTAGACAGTTGAAGCTTCTGTAAAACTCTCCAGAATATCTCCAGTTACACACTTAGAAACAGCACTTAGAAGTAGCACCAAGCTATATTAGACAAGCTAATGAGACCAAGCCTTATATAACTCCTTAAATCACCGCCCACTAGGAATGTTTAACACCTGGGTAGGCCTCTGCTTATTTGCAAACAATAGCTAATTAACCAGCAAGTAACTAGCTTAATCAAATCAAACGCCTTATAATTACCAACAGGAATTCAAACCTTGTGCAATCAGTAACCTTTTCCTACAGATGAATCTTACCTGTAACAGTAGAAAAGAAAGCTCTTAGCACAACTCTTAGACAGTTGAAGCTTTTGTAAAACTCTCCAGAATATCTCCAACTACACACTTAGAAACAGCACTTAGAAGTAGCACTAAGCTATAGCCAGAGTGCCAATGGAAACTAGGCCTTATATAACCTCTAAAAATCACCACTAGGAATGTTTAACACCTGGTAGGCCTCTGCTTATTTGCAAACAATAGCTAATTAAACTACAAATCAACAGCAAGTAACTAGCTTAATCAAATCAAATGCCTTATAATTACCAACAGGAATTCAAACCTTGGGCAATCAGTAACCTTTTCCTACAGATGAATCTACCTGTAACAGTAGAAAAGAAAGCTCTTAGCACAACTCTTAGACAGTTGAAGCTTCTGTAAAACTCTCCAGAATATCTCCAACTAGACACTTAGAAACAGCACTTGGAAGTAGCACTAAGCTATATTAGACAAGCTAATGAGACCAAGCCTTATATAACTCCTTAAATCACCGCCCACTAGGAATGTTTAACACCTGGGTAGGCCTCTGCTTATTTGCAAACAATAGCTAATTAACCAGCAATCAATAGCAAGTAACTAGCTTTAATCAAATCAAATGCCTTATAATTACCAACAGGAATTCAAACCTTGTGCAATCAGTAACCTTTTCCTACAGATGAATCTTACCTGTAACAGTAGAAAAGAAAGCTCTTAGCACAACTCTTAGACAGTTGAAGCTTTTGTAAAACTCTCCAGAATATCTCCAACTACACACTTAGAAACAGCACTTAGAAGTAGCACTAAGCTATATT